CAGCCGCCCCCTCTCACACACCTTTATAATACAATCCTATCTTACTAATCTTATTAATTATATAAACTAGCTTTCGCCCGCGACTTCGTCCGCGGGGAATTAAAATTATAACAAATCAAGTAGCCTATGTGTTCTTCTAGACTATGTTCTACATCTATGGCAAATTTCATCCAGATACATTCAGCAGTTTAGGTTACAAACTCTAACATCCATCCATCCACCTAAACTTTCGCATTTATAATATTAATAAGAAGTAAGATAAGATACGAAAGTCTAGATGGATGTTTGTTAACAGTTTGTAGTCTAAACTGCTGAACGGATCTGGATGAAATTTGCCATAGAGAGCATAGTCTGGAAGAACACATAAGCTAGTCACTTTTGTTTTTTTTTAATTCCACGCGTACGGAGTCGCGGGTGAAAGCTGGTTACATATAATTAGTAGCCTGTATGTTCATATTGGTATAAACTATACCAATATAATAAAAATAATATACTAATATTACAAAGAGGTAAGATATTTATTTTTGTTGATTTGAAATAACTCATAAACTACAGGGCCGATATCAAAAATTATTTCACCAGTAAAAAACTACGTTATCAGTAACTAAATTTTTTATTACTTTTTAATTTCACGCAGACGAAGTCGCGAGCGATAGCTAGTATTAGAACCAACTTACCAAAGTAGCCACTATCCCTTTCAAGCTGGCCACCAGGTCTTTCGCGAGGACTGTAAAGTCTTCTCTGATCTGATGATCAGGTGTGAGGCTGGCGAGGGAGGCGCCGCCCGCCGCCCCCAGCGCCTCCGCCCCCGGCAGCGACTGCGGACGTGTCGCCGCACACGCTACACGTAAAAAAATAAATTGAATTCTAATCTTCCTAACATTATAAATACAAAAGTTTAGATGGATGTTTGTTAGAGTTTGCCGCTTAAACTTCGTAATGCATCTCAATGATTGGCATAGATGTAGAGGATAGTCTGGAAGAACACATAGGCTACTCATTTTTTTAATTCCACGCGGACGAGTCGCGGGTAAAAGCTTGTACAGTAAGTGCGATACGTAATTTAAAAGTAAAATTGGTAAAAAAGTGCGTTTGGGCTTTTTGCATCGTGTAAGTCGCCACTGAAGAAAAAAAAACTATACTTGTCACTTCTAGAAACATATTTCATACAATTCAAGCGCCAATAGCCTAAAGGTTTTGTGTTACGGACTACAGATCTTGAGGTCGAGGGTTCGAATCCCGTCATTCGACTATTGTCGTGGACCATATCCTAGCACTGACCTAGAGCTTAGTTGGAATTGTTAAAGGAAACATCGGTAAATTAATAATCTACTAGTAATTAAAAAAAATCAACAAAACCTAAGTAATATTTATAAACTTCGACTATTGGGTTGAAAAATTATTTAGTAATATTCAGTATTAAAAAAGCTACAATGTATATATATAGTTATTGGTACATAATTAAACTGGAGTATGTACAATGAGTTCTAACACATTACATACTATTAACTAGACGAAACTTATTTACTATATGTGGGGATAATTAATGTTTTGACGATTACAGTATTTTTAGATAATTTTATTAACTATTTCTATAATAAAATCTATTTAAATACCAAAATTTTATTCTTACATACTTATACTTATTTATTTATATTATTTTATAACAAATAAACTAAGCTAGACTTATAATTTTCTATTTTACACTATTCATTTCAACTGTGTTAAGTTACAAACTTAAAATAACTTACATTCCACTTCGCATTCTCTTAAAAATTTCAATAAATACTCAAACACAATTTTTCCTAAAGGCACTATAACTCCATTATCAGTCATTTTAGAAAATCACACGAAGTTACTTCAGAACAAAAATCACTTCATTTTCATAAGATATTAATTTCAAAAATATATATAAAGATTGCACAAGAGAGCAACTATTACATCATTTACGTAAAATTCACATCACTATCTCTTTCCAACATTAAACGTGTGAAAGAGACATCCTTACAGTACTTACTAGATGAAACTCTCAAACACAAATCAATTATTGGAAAACCAATCTTAACACTTAATACTAAAGTTCAAAATTGTATAGAACGATTTTTTTTAAGAAAACCCAAATCTTAAGATAATCTCTTATCTATGATAACCTAGTGAGTTTTATATAGATTTGTAAACAATGAGAACTGTGTCAATCGCAAAGCAGATCTGTGGTTAAGCATTTGAGTTATAAAACTACGATTGGGGGGTTTAAAAAATTAGGGGGGGGGGGTTACTTTATAGGGAATGAGGATATGAGCAAAAAAATTGACAAATACTTTTAAATTGTTATAAAATAAGTTTTTAAAGCGTTGTGAAAACGCTAAAATTTAATTATTATTGTGTTGAATTAACATCTCTTTATAAACTTTGGACCTCCATTTTTAGACCTTTTGGGGCTGAATTTTGTAAAATCCTTTCTTAATAGACGTCTACATAAGAGGTCCCCTTTAATATCAGGCATTGAGAAAAATACTTATAAAAGCTAGATTTAAAATAAAAAAAAATATATAAAAAAAGTTTAAATGAAGAACATGCGATATTTTAAGTCTATAAAATTGACAATAATCTTTTTTTTTAATTTTTGAATGAAGTTGCCATTATCAATTTTATAGATGAAAAAATGCATCTAAAAGTATTCGATTTCGTACTTTATGTCTATAGTTTTAAAGACGTAAGTCGCTTGCTTGTGACTTGACCGATCATGCGTGAAAGGGAGACGTGTATGGGGTAGAAAGAGAAAATAAAAATCAGTCTTACGAACTAAAGTGGTGGCCAGAAATGTCGAAAGAAACGCTGGAAGGCAAAACGAGAAAAGTTTCAATTAGAATTTTTGATTTTTTTTTAAATTTTTTCGATGATTTTTTCTAAATGTAACTCGATGTCTGTCAAAACATTCAAATAACAGGTCTGATAAAAAAAACTACGGCGATTTCGTTTGAAATAATTTTTGAATTTAAATGATCAAAGACATTTAAATATCAAATATTGATTGAATTCTAAAATTTTAAGTTAACATGCAAGAATTTTTGTTTCAAAGCTTTTACTTTTCTTTTTTTTTTAATAAAAAATAGATAAACAAAATAATTTTGACAGATGAAAAATAGCGCGAACTGTCGAGTAATTTAAATTGTTTGGTTTAATTCTAATATTTGAGATAACATGCAAGAAATTTTATTATTTTAATACTTCTTTTTTTTAATGAAATAAAACAAGTCTGAATGATAAATAGCGCGAACTCTACCGCACGTCATCTACAAACATGATGTAACGCACATGCTGTCTCTCTCTATCGTGCAATGTGTGACAGAGACATACGACACCATGACACATGGCCATAGACTTACCAATCTCGTAGAATCCTCGAGAAGACATAATTAAAAACAACATTTAATACTAAACTAGACAAACACAACTATATTTTAATAAATAATTTATTCATTCACTAACACAAAACATGACACATCTAGACGACTACTTTTTTGGTAAAAAATGGTAGGTTTGAGGTTTCCGATCAAGCGGGGAATGTGCCTGTATCCAAGGGGCATTTCAACTTATCACGACACAACACTTTCACTAGAAACAAACATATATAATGTACAAACATATATGCACATAACAAATATAAATATTTTATACATAAAAGTAATTATGCAATATATTTATTCAACTACCCTCAAAATTGGTGTAAATACCACAAAAATTAATATCAGCGCCATCTAGTTTCAGAAAAAATATATTAATTCATTATGCGCATATATGAACCTAGACAAGCAACTAACACAATGCATTATAGGGTGAGTAGAGAGGGACTCACCGATGGGCAACGAAGCTGCCGAATTGGGGATGGAGGATGCGCCACCGCCGGGGGAGGGGGGCGCTGTTAGTGCTGAAAGAGCCTGGAAAAAACTCTATTATTTTTACAAGTAACGCACAATGGGGTAAGTTTTCGGTATTTCATTAAAAATGTAGTCGCTTGAAGGTTTTGTATGCTTTGAGACGTCACATTCAGTACACGGTTAATTGATTTTGTACTATTATCCCATATGTTGCAACACACTGCTACTTGATTTTTTGAAGGGGGACAAAGATTGTTTTCATACAAGGAAATTAATATTTTTTTTGTAAGAACACCTTGGATTTTGTTAACTGTACATATTTTATTAGCAACATATTTTTTTTATAATACAAGGTGGCCAACGAGCAAGCGGCCTGAATCCACCGAAATGGAAAGCGACCGCTGACCATAGACATCCGCAATTGCAGCGTTGCCTACCCTTCATTGACCTAGGAGACGCACATAAAGAAGACATTTCCCCTTCCTATGCGTCTCCTCCACCGTCAAATCCACTTTTCCTTCCTATCCTTTCCTCTTAAGAAAAGGGTGGAAAGGGAAAAGGACTGAAATTATGCCTCCGGCACCACACTCATCAGACGAAACACGGAATTGCTTCTATTTCACGTCTGTCTTCTGTGTGGTCGTGGTATTACTGGGGTCGAGTCGGTAAATTCGTGCTAAGATGTTAAAGCGGGCTGTACCACTGTTAGACACTTAACATTATGGCAATAAGATTGAAAATCGCTCACCATATGAGAGTTAGAAGGATCAATATGCGGAGGCTGTAGTTCTACGGACGCACATTTACTGTTAGATTTCTTTTTCCTTAGACCAAACTTACGCCGGTCTTTCTTCACGTTAGGGGAAGCACCTTCTAGTGATACCTGAAATAAAAAAAAATAGCTTATTATGCACGACACGAGCCAAAAATTATTCAATGGGAACTTGTAAGATTGTAAAGAATGGCAGGTTTTTTTGTTATTTTTTTTAAATTATGGTATGTAAAATTAATTTACCATTTGACCATAGGACATCTAAGTATTATTAAAATGATTGCTTCATAATACATCAAATAACTATAGAATTAAAGTGACTTTTGCCCTGGAAGAATGATTTGGAAACACTATTATTTGTAATACAAGATATCAGTAATTACAACATTTATTTAAATAATTCTTTCTTTAATAAAAAGCCCTACACTTACTCCACGCCATAGACTACATATATTCACGCTATTTAATGGATGGGGCGTATTAATAAAAAAAAAATATCATCCAAGAAAGGGACAAAAATTAAAAGTTGACAACATCAAAGAAGCTAGATTTCCATATGATAATTTACTAAAATTTCCTTTAATTATTCCAACTAAGCTGTAGTTTTGCTTGGATATGGCTCACGATAGTTGAATGGCAGGATTCGAATCCTCGACCGCAAGATCGATAGTTCCAAACCTAAAGGTTATTGGCGCTTCTTTTTTAGAAACGTAAATTTTTAATATGCAGACGAAGCCGTATAATAACAGCTATGTTATGTCCTCACATCAGTATCATGGTGGACCTGCTGCTGCATCTCCAGCGCATCCAGCAGCCGCTGCAGCTGCTGCACCGACAGCTGCGCCTGCCCCAGCTCGCGAGACGCATTCTCTAACGGACCACCGGAATCTGAAAGATAACTTCATATTAAATGTATGGATGGATGTTACTATATCCAGAAGTCAACAGATCCCGCTGAAATTTAGTATAGATGCAGAACATAGTCTGTAAATTAATTTACATAGCTTTTTTAAATTTGTGGTCGTCAATAAAGAAGATCGATTTGTCAAAAAGGACTTGATAAACACAGATTTCAACAGAAAATTGTGTAAACGTTTGTATTGTAACCAATAAAAATTATAACTTTCTGAATATAAATTGAACGTAAGGACACAAGCAAGACACAAAAATTTATACACTTCATGCAATAAGGGAAGGAAAGGTAAACCAGACAGATAAAAAAAACCCTTAGGCGTCGTATCGTAATTTTGTCCATATTTTTTCCCACTCTTGGTATGCCATACAACTGTATTATTTTTACAAGCAGAAATCATAATTTAGTTTCCACCATACCTATTATCCAAGTAGCCAATCGTCCGCCAGGGGTGCCGGACACAAACCCGGCTTGCGGGCCGCGCAGGGGCGCGCCCGTCGGGCTAACCAGCCCTGCAAGGTATTGGGTAATCACAGTGGCGGTCAAATATACCAAGAGTATACGCCTAACTTGTAAACCAATTAAATCTGACACGCCCATAGAGTATATAATTTTAGAAGTGACAGTAAACTAAATAACTAACATAGATTATAAAAAAAATAGAAAGGCCAATAAGGTACTTGGTATTTCATTAACATTTTTTGATATATAAAGTGTAGAAATAATAATTTCGAATAAAGGTACTAACAGCTAAAAAATTTAACCGCCACTGTAAAAAAAACTCTAAAAACCAAATCAACATACAAGGAGAAAATCTATAAAATCATTATTTATACAACATACATAAGGGTTTAAATACATTATTTACTTAAATACTTACTACTAGGAATTCATGCTTTATCCATTTTTTTTAATAATTGTACATATGCTAGTGATTCACATGTTATTCAAATATCTAATTTAATAATTTATATCTTATTTAATAATTTAACTAATTATTGAACTAACTACTTTTATTTATTATTTAAATAAATCTTTAATAGGACTAGTATTATTACTATTAAAAAAATATTTGGTATATTCCTACATCCTGTATGTTACTTCAAGTAGACTAAACGTTAGAAAATCGAGTTTAGACAAACCAGATTTATGATATCTGTCACTGGAACATCTGTATAGAGTCTTAAGGTCTCCGTTACTGACTAACTTAGTGTTAGAAGTGAGAATAGAACTGTATTTCTTCATCTTGTATTTACTATTGAAATATTGTTGATAAAATTTATAATCTTTGGACAATTTGTCTTTTAGTTCGTGAGCATTTGGGTTGGATGTTTTCGATCTTTGAGTATCATTGATAAGGTTTTTTCTTAAATTTTTCAATGCTTTACTGTCAAATTTATGTGGCGATTTCTTTTTTAACGTAACTATTATATTTGTCCGTTTGTTTTTATCGTTTTTTCTAAATTTAAACGGCGTGTTCATTGTAAAATCACGTGTGCATTTTAATCGGTATAACTTTTGATTCGATACAGCTTTACTTTTTTTTTCTTTCAGGACAGTAACTTTTACTTCAGCATTTTTAGGTAGTTCAGCTGTTTTTTTTGTATTACCGAATTCAAATTTCTTATCAGAATGTTGTGTGTTTTCTGCTTTGTCATCCATACATTTGACTGTTTTTAAAAGGGTTGTAAAACTTGTCGTGTTAACGGTTGCATTATTTTTTACAACTTCATCTATTGGATCTGTTACTTCGAATTGAACAGCCGTATCTTTTTTTGAATGTCTATTGATTGCTTCTGAATTTTCAAGATTATGCAATGATTTAGAAATTGTTGTATCGATTTTGTCGTATTTTTCCAATATTTTATGATATAACTTGTAAATATCTTCACGTAAAGCTGGTATAGTCTTCGAAAGTGTGCTCAATTTGTTAAGCAACATTTTTTTAAATTCTTCATCAATAATATCCGATAATTTACTTTTTAAGGAATTTAAATCTTTATTGTCAAAGAAATTAGGTACATTTTCATTCTCTTTTCTAACATCTGTTTTATTCGATGTATTAGGGATGTTATCTTTTTCAATAAGAGTTAAAATGTTGGATTGTCTTTTAAATGCGTCAGAAGACAATCTCGTCATGTTAGAATTGTCACTTATAAGATACTCGAAATTATTAAGTTCCCATCTTTTCTCGTAGATTTTCTTAAAACATTCTTTAGATAAAGTATCACTACTGCAAAAAGGCTTGATACTTATATTGTCATGTGTACAGTTGTAATCCAAAAAAGGGTTTTTATTATAATCTGTTGGATCAACTGTTTGTGTAGAATATAATCTGTCAGAATTAGTTTTGTAATCCAAATTTGGTAGCAAATTCCGTGGGATATTTTTGAAAGGTCCCTTGTCTTTTATAAAATAATCTGGTTTTGAATTTTTTGCTTCTGCATTAGGTGTGTCTTCCAGTTTAATCGCAATGGACATGATTTCTTTTACCAGAGGAACATTATCCGTGGAAATATGATTGTATTGTGAGAGGTATAAAACCCTATTTTTGTTATCAACTTTACTTGTATCAGGTTGCATTTTAAATGTAGAGTCTTTTAATTGTTTATATTCTTGCATAGCTTCTTTTATCTTCTCCTTTTGTGTGTTACGATCCCAAGGTATTTTAACATTGTCAGATTTGAAAGTTATCTTGTTTAAAACGTTATACAAATATATCTCACTTACATTATTCAAAGACAAGTTTTCATTAAAAGATATATTATCTTGAAAACTTTGTGTATTTATATTTTTAGATATATGTTTTTGTACGCAATCTGTTAATACGTCACATTTATAAGAGTTTGATTCAATATTTTTAGCTGTATCTATTGACAAACTGCTAGCAATTTCATCGACACTTTCATTTTTAAGAATATTCAAATATGCTTTGAAAATCTCTTTCACCATATCTACTGGAAGCGAAGTTTCGCTTAGTAAATAGTTTATAACCTTTTGCAATTCCATTAATTCAGTTTCATTGGCTACTTTATTGATTTCGTTTGTCGCTTGATTAAGGCAATCTTTACCAATGTTTTCTATTAAAATCTTCGTTATTTGAATATCGTCTTTTTTACTTTCTCTAGGCTCAGTACGCGTGTTATCACAGTAATAAACTGTATTCTTTATTATTCTTTCTAATTCTTGAATCTGTTGTTCTTTGTTAAAGCTTTCCGATTTCGGCAGTTTTGCTAAACCAAACGGATTGAATATATACGATTGTTTAGATTTCTTCTTTCTTAAAGGGTCATAGTAATCGTGACATTGCGTTTCTTGGCTTTGATTGTGGACGCATAGACTCGAAGTATTCTCATCTTTAGTAAAATAATAATTTGACGGTTTACTGATAGATTTAACCGCTTTGACTGTCTCTTTTAATCGTGGAAACGCGCTATTCTGTATCCAGTATTCCAGTAGACATTTAAAAAGTGCCTTTACTGGATGATCGTCAATCTGTTCGCAACTGAAACAATATATTTCTGCGATAACTCGATTAATGAAGCTTCGCAAATGATCTTCGGATTTGTAGTTTTCAAATTTAGCGTAATTCTCGAATACTGTTTCGACAAGTTTTTCAGTCATTTTGTGAAACTCTTTATCTACGACTTTTTCTTTTGTGATATTTGTTTTACTTTCGTTATTTGATTCGTTAAGGTTTTGATTTAAGAGTATGACTCGTGCCGGTCTGGCATCTGAGTGTCGTGATATCTTTAATTTATATTTTCCTAATAACATACTTCTGTTCAATGGTTGTTTTAGTGGTGGTTCTGATAAGACATTTCTGTATTTAACCATATTAGTAGATTTCCTGCTACGTTTCAAAAGCGGGGCTTTACCGTTATTTCTACAAGACCTATGTTTATGCGTAAAACAAAATACAATAGGTTCATTTTTAACATTTGCATCTTTAGATGTTTTAGCGCGTTTTTCTTCATTGCGTTTATATTTTATTTGAAAATTAGGTATTGCTTTTTTATAACTAGAATCAGATTTCTGTTTATGTAAATCTATTGATTCTATACTCATTAGAGATTCAAAATAAGATTTAACTTCTAGATTCGTGCTATGCATTAGTTGTTCTTCTGGATTGTTCTTTGCGTCATCAGAGTCATCATTGATAATACTTTTGCTTGTTTCCTTGATTTTGGTATTTGCTTCTTTAGAATTTGCCACACGTTTAAAACAACATACTATTCTTTTATCTATTGAATCATTTTTCTTTCTTGAGTAAATACATTTTAGTGATGTTAGTTCCTTGGTTTTTGCAGTTTTATGTAATAGTGAAGTGTTGGATGGTATTGGTTTGGGAGGTAAATTAGAGAGTAAGGAGGAGGTTAAAGAATCGATATGATCACCATCGCTTGACGAACATATAGTCCTTGTTCTTTTCCTTGCTAACCAATCTGTGATTGTTAAAATATTGTAACTGAATGAAAATTGATATAACAGAAATTAACTAGTAGCTACAATTAGTCAATATCTATGATATTTGACTCAAATTTAACGATCATT